ATTACCTGGTAATATATATCGCTTGTGATACTTGGGAGTATGAATAACCAATGACTGCTGTGATAGGCCCTCATGATCAATGTACTCCTGGCATGTTTTTAGTCTCTACAAGAAAACCAGGTAAAACAACTAAGAGCTGAGATATCACAACTTACATTCTCACTATCAAGTACAAAGATAGTAACCTGAGGGAGGATCAACAAGACTGCCGATCTGTAATTTTCGAGCAGACTGTAATCATTTGTCTCAGTACCAGAAAACTGCTTTAGGGCTGCCGGNTGCTCAACTTCTTGATCCATTTAGTAGAGCAACAAGATCAAATATGCATATATCTACACCCATGTGCTGGGTCTAAGTCATTCTGACAGTTGAGTTCCAACTCTATATCCAAATTAGGTCCGCGCCAGCCAAAGAAGAAATAAAGCGGAAAAAAAATTAACTAAATCCTGATCTGTATCCAATTCTTAAATTCTCAAAGAAAGCCTAATGAATTAGGATCACACCATAACAATATATCACAGCATAAAAGACTCATAGCTAGCTTCGCTGTTTAGTTTTGTGTATAATCTTCTTGATGAAAGTGTGTGTTTGTGCATTCACTTCACCTACAAAACATTAACTAGACACAGAAATCTTCAGACACAAAATATAAGAAAGTTGCACAGCACCAACTGCCAAGCATTGGCTCTTCAGAGGGTGTTAGCATCTTGCAGTCTTTACAAGGATTATCAGTGAACTACATTTCTTCTACCAAATGGAACTCGATAAGTATCTTTACCTCAATTACGGAGTTCTATCTATAAGAAGTATTGTCGTTATAGTATCTTCATACGTTTGTGCAGCAAGGAGGGAAGAGCGAACAAGAACATAATTAAAGGCAAAAAGGTACTTTTCAAAGAAAGAGTTGAATATATGACATTAGAAAGAGGATTAGTCACACATATGTTTTTACATAGTGGTCACTTTTTCGTGCAAATCACCATGGTTTATCCTATCAGAATTCTTTTAACATGATATTCACAAAGTTTTGATATCCGGAAAAAAAAGCAGGTTATTACCTGCTCAATGCAAGATAGACGCAGCTCTGTTCCAGAAACTTCATCAACTTTTTCATCCAAGAGATCACTGACCTTATATGTCACAGAGCCCAAATGATCCACAGTGTTCACAAGGGCTTTAATGGCATAATCTTTCAATGTATTTACCACACTGTATGAAGAGAAGTATGTCAGAAGCAATACGAAAAAAGACATGGAAAAATCAAATTGAGCTTTCCAGCAAGTCGACAGATAACTCACACTTCTTTTTGCTCGTCATTAGAATAAGACAATTCAAAATATTCAGCTGCTGAGTAAAGTTGTTTTCTCAGATTCTTCAAATCCTGAAGAAAGAAAATGCAAGAAGAGCATGAATTTCAGAAACACATAAGACCAAGATATATAGCAAAAATTTTAAATACCAAATCAACAATGAAAGTATTTAAGAATAATCCATATTCTGTACCACTCTTTAGTTTATTTCTTCAAGATCTAAAATGACTAACTAGCAAGTTTCAAATCAGAGATAGAAATTCAGTAAAATAGGCATATATACACCTTCCAAATTCTAAACATTGGACTCAAATGTTAGGGATGAAAACTAAACGTAGTCATTTCTACCATTATGTCAACCAAGAGGCATTAGCTTCCATATTTCCAAGATCCAATTAAAAGAAAAATACCAATTTTCAGCTGAGGAAGAGAGGAGGTTACCGTAAGACTATCAGAAAATAGCATGCTTTGATGCATAGAAACTTCATCAAAGTTGGCTGGCTCTCTCGGAAAAGTCATTAATTTAGCTGGTGAATTTAGGGTCTCCATTGAGCAATTGGTAACCAGTTCTTATCCTGTAACAACCATGACGGGAACATTTAAAAGAAAGAACGAAAAACGTTGCAAAAAAAGCTATTAATTGTTTGCTAATACATCCTTTAAATTCACTTCTGCAACTATTAATGAGTTAAGCTAGGATCCAACGATTCATTTCATTTCAGAAAAACATATACTACTACAGTCCTAAAGCTGCTAATGAATCAATCAAAAACAAGCCAACAGTTCACACCAGACAGATACAATAAGAAAATCAAGAAACGATTATGTCAGGATAATGCTTTACATTATCTCTGCAACTATCCTAAAATAATTAAATCATTTAACTTTGAGCCCTGGAACTTCAAAAAGTCAGTCTTGTCTGAAACTTAACAATTACGCTCTCAATTGTTCAGAACAAACTCACACATATCAGCACCCACTGTAATAGACACTTCAAAAAAGTAAGAATCATGAAAAAGCTGCAAACTTTGAGTTAAAATGAGAACCCCATAAAACTACAAGATATAAAAACTTGCAAAAAAGTAAAGAACTGGTCACATGGCCAAATTTGAAAATCTTTCTTTCATTTTCTGAGCAACCAAATCAAGCAAACCCCACAAAGCAGAACTAAAGAAAAGTAACAAAGAATCTAACCTGGAAATTATTTTTAAGCTAGTAGAGATATGAAACCGACACCAAGTTCCACATTGAACAACATGAGTTTGTTAAAAGAGAAATGGGGAAATAAATAGGGCCATTCAATGAAAGAGACCAAATTTGGTTGGTACCAAGAATTTGACTAAACCAAAGGAAAAGGACAAAAAATTATTGTGTTAGATGATTTGTGGGTTATTTGAGAGGATTGATAATGGCAAAGCAGTAGAAGTGGTGAAGAAGATGGGGACAGCCGTGCATCAAGGCGAGCACGTCTTAGAAATTAGAAATTCAAAAAGTGGGAGAGAGGGTTTTGAGAGAATATTATTAGAATGTGTACTGGTTTAGGAAGCAGAAAAAAGAAATGTGGCCATTCTTGCAAAACCCAAAATTCCTCTTTCTAATCATTGCTACAACGTTTGCTTGCTTTTGTTTAGTGGATCATGTCGTCTCTTGTCTACTGTACTGTTCTTGCCCTCATTATTTTTTTTAAGGGTAAATTAGCATTTGACCCTCTTCTTCCGTGCACTGCTCGGATCCGAGTCTTAACGTAACTGGTAAAATTACTATCATTATAAGGTAAGATGGTGTATAATAGACTCTTATAATTTGGTCCTTTCCTGGAACCCGCACATAGCGAAAGCTTAATGCACTGTGCTACGCCTGCCCTTTTCTTCTCTACTTTACTTGAATTACCTTTATTCCTTGCATTGCTAGAGGCTTAGAGATTGTTACACCGGACTTGCCTAGGGCAATTTACATCTGCTGTATTATTTGCAAGCTATTGCACAGTAAGCAGATTATCCAATATGCAGCCATAGGGCAGCGATTGCTGTTTTCCTGGAAAGTTTCCAAAAAATATGGGACTATATTTGATTGGACACCGTTTAAAAAAGAAAGAAGGATTTATATTAAAATTGTCTTAGACATGTTACAGAATTTATGTAACATTAAAAACATGCTATCGAGGGAAAATGAGAAGTTTAAAGTTCAATTATTTGTTAATATAAAAATATATTATTTAAAAAAAATTAATATGAAAATAATGCCGCACAAAATATAACAAAAGGGACTACTATTTTTTTTAACTACAGAAAATAGTGTCTTTGTATTTTTAGAATCAGATTTAGTAATTTTTTTCAATGTTATTTATTTTTATGATACATAGGTACTAAGCTTTGAAGAAATGGAAATCATGTGTCCGTTGCCTTTTCATTTTCTTTTGGTTATTTTTTGTCATAATCTTTGAGTTTTCAGTCCATTGGAAAAAGGCTAGTAATGTAACAGATTAGTTGACTAGATTGGAATTTTGGCGTGCAGAAGTGAAGCATCCACATAATCTCTAATCTCTAATGGAGTAATTAGTACTAGTAGTAATTAATAAACATTTCTAGTGGCACTTTATGTTGAAATGTTCATTTCATTGTCAATAATCACACTTGAGTAGTTGAGTTTACCACATACTTGACAAAATTTACTTGTTCTGGGGTCTACCATCCAACCTATCTCCTCTACTTTTTTATTTTCTTAGAATATTAAAGTTGTTGAGATGAGTTCTAAACATGGAAAGAAATTGGAAATAGTTCCATTTCTTAAGAAGACGTTAAACCGTTAACGGAAATATTTGTTTCCAATTTATTACTTCCTCCGTTCACTTTTATTTGTCCAGTATTCTAAAAATAAATTTTCACTTTTATTGTCACTTTTACCATATCAAGAAAAGATAATTTCTTTTTTTCCGTTATACCCACAATGTCAATATTAATTACTATTATTTTCTCAAATCCATTAAAACATACATCAATTAATACTGGTATCATAATAAATTATGCACTTTATTTATTAATTTTTTAAGGGTATCCAAAGTTCATAGTGGGCAAGTAAAAGTGAACGGAGGGAGTACTACGTCCCAGTAATAGTATAACTCTATTTATTGACTTACATTTTCTTTTATTTATCTAGAAAATGATTTGATTTTTGATATGAGAGTCTTCATAAGTTGATATGTTAATTGAATAATAGTATCTTTTTCTTAATCGTCTTTGTATAAGTATAATTTTTGACCGATAAGCATGACTAGACATGTCACATCTAGTCACTAAAAGCAAAATCCCATGTTTTTTTTCTAGAGTATTTTTTTAATCGATCCAGAATAATTAGAAAAATTCTTTAACTAACTAAACTTCAACTCACATATAGTGTATTGTATATAATTTGAGTATGAACTACATAGAGGATAGAATCATCAAATTACAGAAACATTACGGGTGTTTTTTGTATGAAAAAAAATATTTTTAATTTTCCCGAGTTCAATTGACTTAAATATTTTAAAAAATATTTTTCTTAGCAACTTATTTTCCTCCAATGGGAGAAAAATAACCTTTCTACCGAAAGGAAGAAAAATCTTTTTTCAAAACTCTTTTGCAATCTTTTTCACCATATTCCCCACCCTCTATTCCTCTCCCCACCCCTCGACGCTGCCGCTACTGCCACCCCCTAACATTGCTACAGCCACCCTGGCCCCTGGAACTCGACCTACAATACTCCGCCGCTTTTACCATTTTTGTCTTATATAGGGTTTGTTTATATTATATATTTTTTTAAAAATATTTTTTGCTATCTAACCAAACTCCAGAAAATAAGAATGAACACTACTAACATTTTCCAAGGAAAGGAGCACAGCACTATCCAGAAATACATAGCAATGGGTGAACTAAAATTTCATACTTCCGATTATATAAACTCCAAGTATTCCACAAGCATGATAATATGTAATAAAATGATTAAGCCAAAGTGTGTATAAATAACATGAATCGAGTTCTGTGCTTTATATAAAGGGGCCATGAGCTCCAATTGTTAGTCTTTTCAGTAAACAAATCAATGCCGTGAATGGTGGAGGGTCCACAAGAAAGACTCAAAAACTGGAATTAATTGGCTTTTCTTTCTCATGCCACCAAAGCCAAAAGTCAAAATAGCAACAGATTTTCTGTCTCTCTTTATAACCATGGTATTCGAATCATTTTGTGATAACTTCGATTAATTTCGCAAGATTCGTCTATTAACACATAAATATGAGCATTACCCTCCATCCCAATTGGATAACACTCAATTTGACTAATGGTGGAAAAAATTACTAAGAAAATAGGGTGAGAAGGCCGTTGATTATATAACAAGTTAAACAACTATTAACAAACACATTTCTAAACAGACCTAAAAAATTTCCTAGAAAGCATTTGAACTTAATGTAAACGTATTGTCGTGAGTAAGCATTAATCATCAATTAACAGGAACAAGTTATGCGAATCTTTTGCTTACTTTGTATTTTGTCAGTATTTTACTAAATTTGCATGTACTAGGAGACAATGTCATAAGCAAGATTTTTCGTATAATGACAAGCAATATTATTTTTTTGATATTTTATACCTAATATTTTTATTTTGCTTTTATATATATATATATATATATATATATATATATTTAGTATAAATTTCGATAAAGTAGTATCACATAACACCGCTTGGACAAGAAGAATCTGCCTTCTATGTGAGAACATAGATATTTTCAATCTACTTTCTTTCTTTGTATTTGTCCTCTATTATATTCTTTTTTTTTTTTTGTTAAACTGGATGCATATTATAAAACAATCTACCCGTCAGGTTTACAGACGGAATGTTTGCGGGTGGATATATCAAATCCCCCACTACCAGGCTATCGTTAGTAATATTACAGTTAGGGCTGCTTATCGAGCGGATTGAGCGGTTATTTACTCTTAACGGTTTGGCTTATCGGTTATCGGCTTTTAAATGTATTAATTCGCTAGCCACCCGATAAAATATCGGGCGAATTAATATCGGTTTAACTCTTATCGAGCGGTTATCGGGCGATTTATCGACCTAATTCAAATTATATTCAATGAATTACTAGAAAATATGCACCTACAATCTAAATGTTCTCTTGACCAAACCCATTTCATTTCTTTAATTCTCTACCAAGACTCATCGTGTAATTAGTAAAAATAATAACTGTATAGGGCATTATTATTTTTTTTTCCCTCTAGTAGTTGATTAAGTTGCCAATAAAAGAAACAATTTAAGTTGTTTACCTGACATTGACCAAGAAGTGCTTTCTGACGGTTGTGTTGGATCAGATACTGACGAAAAAATTCCAATTTGAATGCAGTGCCTATATAATCTGTGACTAGACTTAATTCTCTACAGAATAGGAAAAATTACAATAAAGAAAATAAAAGAATTGAAAAAAAAATTCCGTTCCTTTTTGTTTCAAATAATATCAACTCAAAATTAAGAAAAAAGATAGAAGAATGAAGGAAACGCAGTTCGGTTTATCCGTAATATGGATAATATATATATA